ACTCAGTTCCTTCAGTCTGTCAGTGTGGGACACTGCCTTCAGACTAAAGAGACAGTTCCTTCAGCCTGTCAGTGTGGGACACTGCCTTCAGACTACAGAGACAGTTCCTTCAGCTTGTCAGTGTGGGGCATTGTTTTGAGCACAATAGCTCAGATTACTAATGCATACCGTATGTGCATGTGTGCTGTTCTGTAGCCCTATTCAAGGATGTTTTTGTATGATGGAGACTGAAAGAAGAAAATTCCTGATGCACTCAAAGGTTTTAACTGTCACATCAGCAAAACAACAAACACAGCCAGTGCCCAGAAGGAATCTTGCTTTTGTTTTTTCAGCCCTTACAACAATAACAAGATGCCAATCATGGAAAAGAACACCCCCCCTGTCTTCCACCGTTGGTGTTCAGTGACAGAACTGGTTTGTCCTCACGCTGTGATGGGGTTGGAGGTGTCAGTTGCACACCCAGCAGAAGGAATGGAGCAGAAATGGAAGCAGAGTGGCGGCAGGCAGGGGGCGGCCCAGAGACCCGGAGCTGGGAGACACACAGCTGGGGCGGAGGAGGCCCTGTCTGGACCTTAGGGCAGGACAGTTGGTCTGTCCAGGAGTGGCCACGCTCTCTCTTTCTGCTTTCCTCTCCTCCACACTCGGGGAATCTCTCAGTCCCCCCTCCTTCAGCTTGTCCAGGGCCATCATGTATGGTAGAAAAATCCCACTTTGAAAAATTCATCTGTCCCGGCAACTCTGAGCTCCCTCCATGCGGAGGCTTGGAGCAGACTCTGATACACACCTGTGGCGAATTCTGCATGGGGTCCCTTCTCTTGATCACAGTCTTACATTAAAGACACCACAGTGCTGCCTGAGCGTTAGCGCTGTCCCCCCCTTGTGGTTACATCTGGAACCTTTTTCAGCTAATTTACAGGCAGAGGGTAGGATTACTGCAGACGGTATTGAGGAATTATATGCCTCGTTCATTTTACTTTCTCCAGTTTAAAAATACTTACGTAATCTATAACAGTCTTAAACACGACAGAACCTAATCATTTCTACAATTACAATTAAATCATGTTTAACCGACAGCAAACAGACACTATTAACCCGACGTCTTAACATAACTAACGGAGCTCCGCGCTCGTATCTGAGCCCCACAACCTCTCGTTTATACTTTTAATATCTTTAAAACAAATACGAACACTTAAACCCGAAGGTCTAAGAACACCCGAAAAAAGTCTCCACAGCCGCACGGTTGCGTTTCCTTTCT